GTGGAGTACAGGGGAGAGGGGTGGGAGTGGGCTCCAGAGGTCTGATGGCAGGGAAGGGTGGGTACAGTTGGGAAGGGTAGAAAGGTAGGCTGGACAGATGATGAGCCGTGGAATGTGGGGGCTCAGAAGGAGGTCAGGATGACAGTAGGGTTAGGGCAGTGGTGGTGCTTTTCTGGAGGTGAGGACACAAGAAGACAAGCAGGTTTGACTGGGGAATGCAGCTCAGTCTCTCAGTTTTGAACATACGAGTTCCGACTGGCAGTGAGACAGTGAAATGAGATGCCATGTAGCAGGCAGATAGGAGTTTGCTGCTGAACGTAAATGTGGGCTGGTGACAAGGCAAGTATTAAAGGCACTTCTGTTATTGGATTGAGCCTAATAAGTGACTCATTCTAGCCAGCGCAGCATCCTGAACTGGGGTGAGGGGGGGTGCACCCAGAACTTTCCACTACCAGATCCAACTTTCTGTCTTCCTGTGACCTTCAGCCAATCATCTAACCTTTCTGTGCTTCCCTGTCCTCAGCATAAAATGGTGATAGTTATATCTGCTTCAGACTCCCCAGTAGCACATGTTTGAGGATCCATTAAACTGCAAATAAAACATGTGGGGCTCTTTGGAAATAAGAACTATGTTAAAACAAGGAGTTATTATAGTTGTGCGTAAGCCAATGAAAAGCAGAAATACAGCCCCAAGGCTCAGTATTGATTTTGCTCCCGGGTGCTTCCCACAGCCGAATAAATCTGCCATTTCTCCCCTTGAGTGCTAGCTGAGCTGATGGCAGGTCTCCAGCTCCCAGCCTCCTTGCCCCTGCTCCAAGGTTATGTCCTCTCTTGGCTCAGGCCAGACCCAGCCCCGCGCACCTGCATGGGCAGCTCTGGCTGCCGATCTCACTCTGGTGGGTGGTTATGGGGAAGATTCCAGTTGTGAAGTTGGAGTTTGGCCAGCAGCAGATGCCCTCTGATTAAATTGGGGACAAGTCCCCTTGAAAAGCAGAGCTTGGATCTGTAGAACAAAGGATTTAAGGGAGACTAAAAGAAATGGCTCTAGGCAGCTCGGGTTTTCAAACTTTAAGGGTTATGAAATTTGCTACATTCGTTTATTCATCCTCTGGATAAATATTTATTGAATGCCCACTGAATATCAGGTCCTGGCAATTAGCCTGGGGTACAAGAGTGAAGAAGACAGGGTGTTTGCCCACTGGGAGTTAATATTTGAATTGAGGAAGAGGAAGAAAGGAACAAAATACTCTTAAGGGAACAACCAGCCAGGTACAACAATAGGGAATATTGATGTGGGGTGGGAACTGACTATTTTAGATGAGATGGCCAGGGAAAGCTTCTATGAGGAGGTGGCAACGGACCTGAGATCTGACAATGAAGAAGGGAACTGACTTGTGACAAGCAGGGAGAGGGACACTGCAGGCACAGAGCTCAGCCAATGCAGAGGACCTACAGTGGCACATTCTTTGTATGTTCGCAAGGAAATGTGGACAGAATCTAGGGAAGGAAGAGGCAGAGGGACAAGACCAGATGGTGCAGGGCTTTTTCAGTCTTAGGAAAGAGTTTGAATTTTTGTTTTAGTGTCACAGCAAGGCATTGAAAGGTTTTATGTGAGGAGTGATTTCTATTTTCAAAAGATTGCCCTCACCTCTGAGTGCATAATGGGTTGCAAGGGAAAGGAAAGAATCAAGGAAGCTCGTTAAGCAGTTACTACAGTTCTCCAGGTGAAAAAATGACAGCCGAGAGGAATGGGTACTGTCCCTGGAGGTGGAGGGAAGTAACTGGCTCTGAGGGGAGTTGGGAAATGGAACGGACCAGCTGGCAGGTGGACAGGAAGAATGGGGCAAGGACATGGAGGAATTGAAGGTGACTGGCAGGTTTCTGGCTTACGCAGCTGTGTGGACAGGGATTCATTTACTATAATAGGGATGAGTGAGAGCACAGGTTCATGGAGGGAAATCCAGACTGCCGTTTTGGCCTGGTGATGGGGGACACACCTATGAGGCACTGCCAGAGGGGGCCAAGTATGAAGCTGGCTGTATGGTTGCAAGTCTTCAGACACCTCGGGGCTGGAAATGTGCCTGGAGACTCAGCGTGGGAGGGGATGTGAGCGCCCAGGGCAAGGGTTTAGGTGCTTGGGGCAGAGGGTGCGCCTGGAGCCCTGAGAAGCTCTGGCACACACGTGATCAGGAATGACCCCGGGGAGCAGGAAAGCAGGGAGGGCTAGAGCCATGGGGGCCTGCAGATACCGCTTAGCTGCCAAGTTGGGGAGGAACGAGGGTACTTGGAGGGGGCTGCCATGGTGCCAAGTCATTTCAGTCAGTGGGAACGAAAGGCAGATTGGAGCAGGTTGAAGGATGAATGGGAGGTGAGGAGGCAAACATGACACCTGGGGGCAACTCTTTGAAGTTTTGCTGTTAAATTGGGCAGAGAAATGGGGAAGTGCTCCTTACATGGTTTTCTATGAACATAAGAAACACTCTCTTCATCATTTCTAAACCTCTCTCCCACTCTGATACACCCACCTAAACATTCCTATGATAAAATAAACCATGGATGATGTGCAGTCCCCAACATAGTAGCTGTGACTCCACTCTTCTCTTTTGCAAGAACATTTCTAGGAATGCAAATCAGTCAGAGTAATGTCAGGATAACCATGGCTCTGCTGGTGTTTTTTAAGAAAAATCATTACCAGCTTGCACACATTAAACTATTATTCACAACCAAATTATTTGCAGCACAACTTACTACATGACATATCACACATTATTGTTGGCTGAAAAGTATGGATCCAGGCATGGCTGGGTGGCATTCATCCATTCATTTATTCAGCAAATATTTTTGAGCATTTGCTATGTGTCAGGAGCTTGTGCTCTGAGCACTGGGGGACACCCACCAGTGAACAAGACAAACAAACACAGCCTCTGCTCTCTATGAGCTCCAGCAGGTGGGAGGCAGGGCCATGGTAAGTGAATCCACATCCAGTGAGCTTATAGCCAGAAGTGTTGTGTTTTCAAGGACAGTGTCCCAAGGGTTCCTGGCCTGGTCCACAGGCACAGAAATTCTGAAGACTTGAGAATGAGTAGGCAGAGGGGTGAATTACAAGGCTTATGTTGGGGGGGGGGTGGCAGTGGCCCAGGCAGAAGTGAATGCCAGTGCTGGAGGGAGTCTGTACCCAAGGCCAGCCTATCCAGGAAGTCAGGGAAGGAGGAAGGAGTGAGGTAAGAGGCAGCCAGTGAGGTGTGCTGGGGCCAGGTATACAGGGCCAGCTGGGAGTTTTGTCTCTACCAGGAAGCATCATGGAGAGTCTTAAGTTTGTTTTAAGGGGAGAAGGGTGACAGTAAGGTCACATTTGTGCTAAAAGACCACTCAGGTGTCTGGGGAATGAAGTATAGTTGTACAGAGAAAGGTGGCAGGGAAGCACGACCTGTACTCAGGCAAGGGAAGGCATTAAGTCCCTTCCAGCCCTATTCAATCAAACATAGTGAGTATTTGGAAATGGGGATGGGGGAGATGGGGACAGGGCCAGCCTCCTGCTTCTTGGTGTCCTGTCCCCAAAGGCTTGGTCTAACCCTCCTCATTCTTCTCTCTCCCCAAGAGGAAATCCCAGCAGGTAAGCCCCAGGGCCAGGTCTCTGGGGGAGACACAGCAGCAGACTCCAAGAAATACATACAGGGCCAATGTGGGGTCAGGAGGATGCCGAAATGACAGAAATGGAAGCTAGAGAGGCCGTTTGAAGGGACTGACAGCAGTGGGCTCAGGATGGAGCATGGAAATATACAGATGCAAGTATCCACTTGGTTTGGGACACACAGTGCAGAAATTCACTCGCCAGGGCATGACAAGGCTGTGCTGCTTAAACTTTGCCGGGCATAAGGAGCACATGTTGGAGCTCCTTGAGAGTGCAGACTTGGAGGCCCTCCTAAGGAATGCTGATTCGGCAGATGCAGGGGGAGGGTGCTGGGAGCCAGGAATCCCCATTTTAAAAGACGCTCTCTCCTCTCTCTACTAATGTGATTCTTGTTTTTTCTAAGAGACAGGGTCTCACTATGTTGTCTGGGCTGGAGTGCAGCGACTATTCCTAGGCGCGATCATGGGGCACGGCAACCTGAAACTCCTGCTCCTGTGATCTTCCCGTCTCAGCCTCCCGCGTACGCGTGACTACAGGGGTGTGCCACCTACGCCCAGCTTCCACCAAGGTGATTCTGATCTGGGGGGCCTGATGACCTTCCTTTTGTGGACGCCTCAACGTTGGCCAGCCCGGCGTTAAGATGTGAAGAGCCACGCTCTGGCTGGGCCCGGCCGGCGGGGCTGTCGGAGGGCGGCACCGCAGCGCGCGGCCGCCAGGGGGCGCCAGAGGCCTCGCCTGGCGCACTCGGCTCCTCCGCCCGCGGACGCCGCGCCCGAGCCGGCGAGCTAGGGGAGCCACAGCGCTGCGGGCTCACAAAGCGGCCGGACGCGCGGCGGCGGCGGCGGGTGGCAGGAGCTCAGGGAGCGAGCCGGCGCCCACCCTTCTCGGCGACCGCCCCACGGGAGCGCGAGGAACTCAGACGCGGGGACCTGGGCCGGCCCCTCAGGTACGTGCCCCGCGGAACGCGGCGCCCCAACTTGGCGTAGTTGGGACCTCCCCGCGACCGCCCGGGGGCGGCAGGGCCAGGGCCTGGGTTTCTGTCCTCGCGCCCCTGTCGCCGCCGAGGCCGCAGGGCGGGTGGGAGGAACCTCTCTGGTAGCTGCGGACCGGTGACCCCCAGAGCCCGCACCCCCACTCCCGTTCTCCGGAGCCCGGGCTGCTGCTCGGAGCCCTCTTCTCCCCTTCCCCTGCCCCGAAGCGGTGGGCACCGTCTGTGGCAGCGCCGCTGGCGGATCGCGGGCTCCCCGGGGTTCTGAAGCCCCCGGCCCGAGAGCAGCGGTCTGCGGGGTTCCTGAAGAATGAGGGCGAGGGGTCTTCCGTAGTTTGACAGCAGCCCCTAATTTGTGACGCAGCCTCTTCATTCGTAACTGAGTCCTTGGTTCGTGAGGGGCGTCCCTAGGTCTTTAGTCCGCGACAAGCTTCCCAAGTGTGTCAGGGATGACTCTGTCCCTGCTGTGAGATCCCGGTCTCCGAGGCTGGGGACGGAGTCCGAGGCGCTCAGACGCCCGGGCGCCCGGCGAGGGGCTGGCCATCGCCTGCCCTGGGCTTACCGCGCCCGCGTGTCCCCTGCCCCGCAGATGGCTGCGATCGCGGTGCTGGCGGCGGCCGCCGCGGCGTGGTGCTTCCTCCAAGTGGACAGCCGGCACCTGGACGCACTCGCCGGGGGCGCGGGCCCCAACCACGGCAATTTCCTGGACAATGACCAGTGGCTGAGCACCGTCTCCCAGTACGACCGGGACAAGTACTGGAACCGCTTCCGAGACGTGAGTACCCGCGCCCAGTCCCGGCGGGGCGGGGCGGGGCGGAGGACCTCTCGGGAGAGGAGAGAGCACCTCTGATGCGGGCAGGGGAGGGCCGGGGGCAGGTCTCCCACTGGGGCTTGTCAGTCGGTGGTTCCTGGGCTGCACCTTGCCTGAGAAGAACTTTAAACAGAACTTTGAAGGCTTGATGCGCTTGCCTGGTACCTGTGGTCCAGGTGTGTGTTATTTGTAGGACTCGGGAGGGGACTGCACTACCATGTGGCCCACATCACCAGCAGCTGTGGGGGAAAGAGAATCTAAGGGCTATGGTTGAATTCGCCAAGCCCTGAAGAAAAACCTCCCTGAGGCAGCAGTGATTTGGACCGTGTCTAGGATGTGCCAGAAGAATCCCTCCCGGAAAGGTTAGGTTTAGGAGTGAGTCCAGCTCACCTATGAGGGAGTCAGGTGTTGCAGGCAGGAGAGGTTCTGGGGGGAACGTCCTAGGGGGGGGGAGAGTCATGGCTGGAGTCCTGGTAAGATTTGAGGAGTAGTATGGTGTTTATGACCATACTATTGTAGGGTAAGGGAAAATGGAACAGGAAGCCTTTGGAGTTGGTCCTCACCCTGAAGGATAGAGTAGGTGGCAGAGGTTTGCGCCTCAGGGAGAGCCCTGGGAGGGGAGAAGGTGATTCCTGGGCATCTAGAAGCAGGTATGCTGCTATTCTGCTCCAAGGCTGGCTGCCACTCCCCAGGTGTGCCCCAGAGGAAGTGGGATGGGCGGTACCCCATGGTGCTGTCTTCCCAGCAGGTGGCATCTCCTTTGTGATGTGGGAGCTTCTGCCAAGGGCTGCCTCAGGTGTCCGGGGCCTTGCTCTTCTGAGTGGACTTAAAAGTGCCATATTTTATGGTACTTAACCTTAGGAATACCTGGCTCAAAGAGGCCTTAAATATGGTAAAAATACCCAAGACTTAACAACAAAAAGAGAAAAGCTTTACATTCAAATGCACTGCCTTTTTCTGTTGTTATTCCTGGAGCAGTTTTAAGTGTTAACCTAGTATTTTTAGCAGCATATATTTAAAAAAAATGATAATTTGATCCATACCAGAGAGCCCCTTGTTTTATCACAGCATGTAGTTTCAGATTTTTGAGGTGGTCAACTTCCTCTACTGGGTTCCTCCTAGCCCCATTCCTAGTGCTCCTAGCCCTAGCTGAGAGAATAAAAGAGGGAGCTGGGCTGAGGAACTGAATGAACCTCAGATGATTTCTTGTACTTTCTAATTAAAGAGCACCCTCTCCTGGTCCCCTTCCAGAGGGCAGGGAGCAGAAGCATCAATGGCCTTGTGTGGAGACATACTTATCTCTCTTTCCTCTGTTCCTCTTCTTCTTTCTAGTCAATGTTGGGCTACTTCTCTTGGGAAGGGCCTTTCAGGCAGTTTCATTGAACATACACAGTTATTTGGGACCTTTTTAAAAACTCATAATTTCACTAACAATTTTTTTAATTGGTACACAGTTGTTGGGGCCTTACTTTTGCAGCAGATATAAACCCCCCCCCTTCTACTCCAGTGAGATTCCTGCCACACCTTGCCCCATCTCTGACCTGCTCTATTAACCATCTGTATCCCCTTTCTGCCGAGGACAAAGAAGTCCTGCTTTGACTTTGGCTGAAAAAGATGCCCAAACCATGAAGAACTCACCTGGGACAGAAATAATTTTTTGTTTTTGTTTTATTTTTCTATCATTATGTCTTAGAGTTGAGGAGCAGCCAGATGCTGAAGTCTGCTAGAGATGGGAGAACTGGCCCAGGTTTGGAGGCGCAGGGCTGCCTTTACAGATGCTTTGGTTCTCAGGGCAGCTGGGTCAGATTGAAAATGCTTGTGTTTGTTGGTTCTTTCAATTGTGGAAAGACTTACCGTGCTTTTGTGCCTGTTCAAGGTTTTCTAGTCTCTGTATTACAAATATGGCATTCTCAATTCTCATTTAGCTTTAAATTTTGTTAAAATTGGGCTTTTCTTCATTTCTTTCTTGTGGGTAATATTCAAGACATAACAACAAAAAGAATAAAGCTTTTATGTTCAACTGACTGCTTTTTTGTTTCCAGAAGACTTTTAGATGTTAAACTAATATTTTTAGCAGCATATTTTATTTTATTTACTTCATTTATTTATTTTTTATGAAGACAGTCTTACTCTTTTGCCCCAGGCTAGAGTGCCATGGCCTCAAACTAGCTCACAGCAACCTCAAACTCTTGGGCTCATATGATCCTCTTGCCTCAGTCTCCCAAGTAGCTGGGACTAAAGGTGTGTACCACAATGCCTGGCTAATTTTTTCTATTTTTAGTAGAGATGGGATCTCACTCTTGCTCAGACTGGTCTTGAACTCTTTAGCTCAAGCAATCTTCCTGCCTTGACCTCCTAAGAGTGTTAGGTTTACAGGCATGAGCCAGGCACTCAGTCTAGCAGTGTATTTTAAAAAAATGATTATTTGATCTAGCAAACCATTACAAACATCTAAAAATGTTCAAAAAATCCCAAACATTTTAAATCATCAGTCATTTCGTATGCTTTTTGGAGTTTGCAGACACTAGCAGTGGCTCAAACATAATTTAAAGTCATTAAATTCTTTGAAGTATTGTGAAACTCAAACCAGATGCTATTTTAGGGTTAGTCCAAGTGTCTATAGTTGGGTCATTTACAAGGAGTAGTCACAAAGTCTGAATCCTCTCGGATCAGGGAGTAAAAGGTTGATGTCTATAGAAACTGGCTGTTCAGTGGACAGTGGATTAAAACCCCAGTTAGTGTTACAGTTGCTCAGCCAGCCTGATCATTTCATTTTCACAGAAGTAGTCCTTGAGGTTGACAAAGCCCCATCTTCTTTGCTTTTTAATTGCTTTGTGAAAGCTACTGATAACTTGGAAAGGATGTGTCCTGATATTATTGCTATGATGCTTGTCACTTTCTGAAACTTGCTGTGAAAGACAACTTCTTGCCCTCCTCCCGGCTTCTTGTTTTGTTGGAGTTGGGAGAGAGAGATTTAGAAGTGATTTTTGAACTTGGGAAACTGAAAGCTAAGGGTTCATTTTAGAGAGTTGCTTATAGCCATTGGTTGTTGTTGGGCCAACTTTGAAATAACTGTGATGGTGAGATGTGTGCTCCATGTTCCCCTTACTGCTGGGCATGCTGCGACATTGCCAGAGATGACCTGCAGCCTGTACTCAGTGTGTTGAAATATGTCCTATTCCTTAAGGTACATAAATACTTACTATCTCCTTATTTGAAGAAGTAGCACCTTCAGAACTATCCCATGAGTTGTTGCCTGGAGTTATGGATCCAGGAGAAATACCACAATATTCAGATGATTGCTCCTAAATGTATTTGTGGTCTATTAATTTGGTCATTATTCTTTTGTAAGGACTAGCAATTGAGATGTTTTGGCCAGATGGAAGTCTGGACTTTTGTATAAATACAATATTAAGGAGGAGGAGATAAAGGCAGATGTTTGCATTAAGTTGTACAATAATTTTCCATTTCCAGCTGTCATGCATTTAACTCCTTCATGGTTTGAGGTTGAGAGTTCAAGATGCTACAACTGCTCTTCTTATTTTTTAGAATCTGATTTGCCTTTGGCTTTCCATAACCATCCCTGTAAGAAAATTTTCAGCTGTTTATTCTCATCTCTATATGTACGTTCATTCATTGCAATACATAGTTTGTTTACCATGTGGAAGGCACTGGGCTGTAAGGGTGAATGAGAGAAATGTCATCTCTTTCATGTAACCTCCTGTCTGCTGGATGGAATCCTTTAATGTATGTGATCACAGTTCTTATTCTGTTTTTTTTTTTTTTTAAGAAGAGTTTTTTAAATTTATAAAAGTAATATGTACTGGTTGTAATGGAAAGATTAAAACATTACAGAAATAGATATTAGCTGGTATTTATGGAATACTTGTGCGCCAGGCATGATTTAAGATATTTTCCATATATGATCTCCTTTAATATTCATCACAGTCCTATGGGAGAAGTGCCATTATCATCATCCCCTGTTTTTTGGGAGGTAAAGAATCTTGGTCAAACTATAGAGCTGGAGATATGGAAAAACCCGGACTAGAATAGCCTGTCTGAAACACGGTCTCACTGTGTACCACAGCCAATCAGGAGTTGAGTGGATTTGGGTGTGCACCTTCAGCAATGTCACATTGCAAGTTTTCCCTGCCTGTGGGTTAGAGTAGTCCATGAAGAACCTTAGGTTAAGACAGTGGGATGGTCAGCTAGGTGGTCACAGCTTATTGCGGGTGCTGTGTGAGGGCTTATCTTCTCCTAATGATGAGCTCCTGATTTGATTAAAATAATATTGTTGCTTACATCAAACATGACATTTTCCTTCTTTTGCACACACAAACTATCCCTGACATTTAATTTTTGGATAATTACCTTTAGCAGGCCCAAAGAATCAGAAGTGTTGCCTTGGCTGGCATTTATCTCACTGAAGAGTGACCTGAGTTTGTAATTCTAACAGGAGCACAAGGACCAGCCTGTATTCTTTTTCCTTCTGGTGTATACTCTCTGGGATTCAGTGGTCTCAGTAGCAGAACCAAGGTGGCAGCGAGCATCTGATCTGCTCATTTGATCTTAACATCTCAGCTATAATGAGTTTCAAGGGCAAGTGGGGCTTATTAATAAAATAGTGGCTGGCTCAGTCAGTGGCGCTGGTGACAAAAGAGGTGGTATGGCTTAGTGGATCAGTCATTAATCTGTCACCACGGAAACTCAGCTTGTAATCGAGAGTAGCAGAAAATCATTTTGATTAAACAGGTTCAAGGAGACTTAAATGAGTTTGTGATCATGACTCTCTTTAATGAACCACTATCTTAAATCCCCTATGCCAGATGACCATTGAGAGAAATAATTATTTCACAGGAACCATTATAAAGGGACAGTTTAAAAGTTGATAGGCCTATGGACATGCTTGTCTTCTCTGTCCTCACCTTCAGTTTGCCCTTGCCGGAGAAACACTGAGTGGTCTT